CTTGCGATTCACAAAATCAATATGCTTGTCTCAGGTTGATCATCTGTTTGTATGAATCTTTAGGTAGGTACAAAATCTTGCTAGGTCAAGTAACCACCATACCACAAAAACTTCAATAATTGAACGGTGTCTTAGGAGGTTGAAATAAGGTGTCCGTTGGTGAAAAGCAGAGATGAGTATCTTGGCCATTGTTTTAAACAAAAAAGAACACGAGAAAAGAGAGACATTCAACCTCATGTGAAGTATACTTGAACCTCAGGTGATTTTTCTAAGTTGTATAAAGTATAATTAGAAGTATATCTACATAGAAGAGAACTTAGAAAAAAAAGTTCAAATATGCAGTAAGTAAATTTGAAGAGTCAGTCACCAAAATGCCAGCACAGTCATGGGGCCAAATTTGTGTACAGTCAGACCTACTACCATTGTCAGCAGACTGATTTTATACTGGAATCCAAAAAAAAGGTGAACTAAAAAGAAAGCCACTTACGGAGATTCTTTAAAAGGCAAAAAAGGGACCTGAAAACCCCTATCATTCTTATACAGTTAGCTATAAGCTATGTATTCTTTCATATTGAATAAAAACAAAAATACCATGCAGTCTAACTAAGCTACAAGGACTTACATGGGAGAAGGTAGCCGACCACTTTAAAGTACCAGCAGTAAACCTATCACAGTGGAGGAAGGAGGAGAGGGAAGGTGTAATGAGACTCCACGGAGTACTATTACAGTTAACCAAACCTATACCCATGCCGGTATCAAGAGACTACTGTGGTAGGAATGGTAGTAGACTAGAGTCTACTGGCTAGAGGTACTGTTGGTTAGGTACCTTGGTTGGGCATACTATACCATACTAAGTATACAGATACTAGTAAGGAGTGGTAGTTACCCTACTCAGTAGGGTAACCTAAGTAGTCAATTTGAGGGTTACCCTGAATTACTCAACAGTGAGTCCAGGTAGAGTTACCCTATCTTTGGACTAAAGTTACCCTGCCCTGGGCTATGGGTTACCCTGTTATGGAGCCAAGTTACCCTACCTTGAAAGTAACTTGTTATGCAGGACTTCGGGGGAAGTTACTAGATTGTTTGTCACGCGAAACTACATAGGGTGTTTGAATCTCAGGTTGTGAGGATCACTCCGGCACAACCAGTTGAGCTCCGAACAAGCTGTAACTTGGAGGTATGGTGGCTAACACCCCCTTCCGTCCCCGCTATAAGTCCCTGGCATCATGGGCTACAGCCTGGAGAGTTGCTGCAAGCCTAGTAAATGTCTTCAGGTGGAGATAGTCCTGTAACACCATATACATTCCTGCCATCCGTCTGACCGGAAGCTGTCCGCAGGCTATATGAGGGGGTAGAGGTGAACCTGGAGAATAGTCTCCAGATGGTTTCGTGTAAAATGGACCAGAACTGACGGAGTAATACTACTTTGAAGTTTAAGGTAGTATGTGAGGTTACCAAAGGCTAGTAGGTGAGGTAACCGAAGTCCATTATCCCAAAAGTGTAATAGTATTGGAGAATCGTTAGGGACTCTGAGACACTAGTCTAAGGTCACAATAAGACCTGTTTCTAGAAGAGTTGACTTTGGGTAGCGCCTATTGGTAGTCAACATCTGAAGGGGTCTATTGGGGGAGCTACATGGCCATCATCCGGAATGATATGGAATAGAGTAGAACCAGATAGATGTTCAGAGGCTGCGGATGCTCGTAGAAGACTAAGTGTATATGGGTAGAGAGTTTTATAGTTGGTATCGCATCTACTCGGGCATGACAGCTTGCCACTGACATGTCCATGACATGAAGAGTTTTTACTCCTGCGGTTGTATTGTAGATGTAGCGGCTAAAATACTTCTATCGGGTGAGTGTTAGCAAACCACAAGAGTAGTCTAGTTCACTATGGGGAATCTTTGGTCCAACCCGTGGAGGTTAGCTAGACAGTCCAAGGGAGTTGAGTACTTGTGAATACAGAGTAGTGATGGGGAGCAACTGGTAGTATATGAAATCTACTTAAGTATATGCGAGTTCTCCTCTACTCTGGCAATCAACTACCTCTCGAGATCAGGACTTAATTGAGTAAAAGCTGTGGTTTAACGATATTAAGTTTTACCATTTTATTTCTTCAAACTCTACTGTTGAGACTTTTGACATTTATTATATTTGTTCACTTTGCGGAAGAATTTATTTCGGCGCAGTTGCAACCTTGTGATCCATTTTCCCAGAGGGAGCCCCTGTTACAGAAGGTAAGTTTGAGGGGCAAAAGGCAGATCAGAGAAGATTAAGTGGAGGAGGAAGGAGAAGGAAATGGCCAGAAATGGAGAAGGAACTTTTTCAGCTATTCAGGGAGTGGCGGGCACTGGGTAGGGTAGTTCGATGTAGCTGGTTTAAAAGAGTTAGCAAAGAACTCTTTAAAAAATACTATCCAGCAGAACATGAGGAGGAGTTTTGCTTCTTGAATGGGTGGTTTCAGAGATATCTAAGATGGCACCAAATTAGTCTCCACTTTGTAACCAATAAAGCTAGTCAACTACTAAAAGATTTTGGTATGGCAATACTCAACTGGTTACGGTTTAATCGTCATAACTCACAGTATCGAACTGCAGAAGCAGAAGGAGGAACGGCTAGACAATTAGGGACTGGCCGATATCGATTACAGAATATCTGTAATATGGATCAGACACCAGTCCCATTCGAGTACCTAGATGTTCTAACATACAATCAGATTGGCGATAAAACAATCTGGATTCAATCCAGTAAGTCTGGGTGGGACAAACGGCAAGGGACCATTCAGCTCACCGTTTTTGCTGATGGGGTTTCACAGGTGAAACCACTCATATTTTTTCGTGGGATGGGGACAGGGTCCACAATTATAGCTGAGAGGTAAAAGTATGACAGTCAAGTTATTGTTAAATGTAACCCAACTGCATACGCCAATTCAACCAATATGGTTGAATGGCTCAAGGAGCAACTCATACGTGTACTCAATAGTAAGCCTACACTACTTGCATTAGATCTGTTTTCAGGCCACAAAACAGAGGAGGTACTTGATACCTTTCGTGCCCATGATATTACACCAGGCATAATTCCTGGTGGCTGTACCAAGCTTGTGCAGCCACTTGATGTATCGATTAATGGTCCTTTTAAGGAGCTGTTAAAGGTTAGTAATAATATCTATAAAAATGAAAAATGAGAAGGAAAACTTATCTTATCAGAATACTAATTCTTAGATTAGGAGGTGATGGATCAGCATCTTGAACAAATTGAGGAGGAAGAGGAAAGGATCTTGGGAACTGGGGACAAACTTACCAGTAGTATGATTGGTCAGAGGCGAGTTGCTATCACCTGGGCTGTTGGTGAGGCTTGGGAGAAGTTCTCATCCCAGTGGGCAGAAGTGGTTCAGCGCGCCTTCCATGTAGTCGGTCTCTTATTACCAATTGATGGTAGTGAAGATACTGAATTATCTATCAAGGGGTTAGCGAATGAATATCTGGTGGAGGGGCTAAAAGCATCGGAAGAGGGAGGAGTTGAGGGGGATGGAGGTTATGAGGGGGAGGGAGAAACTCAGCTGGAGAGGAGGGTGGAGGTGGATGGGGAGGTGGAGGCAGACAGCAGAGCCGAGATGGAAGGGGGGGCTGGAGTGGGCTGAGGAACTGAGATGGACAGAGGAGCTGAGGTGGAAGGGGCGGCCGAGGTGGAGGCCAGAGTTGAGGTGGAGTGGGGAGCGGAAGCAGGCTGGAAAGCTGTCAGAGGGGGGTGGATTGGGGTAGAAAATTGGCATAGTGTAGATAGTGAAGAGGTCAACGATATTGAGGATCCAGAAGAGCTAAATTTTCATTATGTTTAGCTACCAAGCAATAGCAAAACCCATATTGATTGATCTGCATGGTGATCCCTTGGCATTACCTACTTTAATTTAACCGCTCTGTACGACGTCCAATTATTGAAGTTTTTGCGGTAATGCAGTTGACTGCGCGTGTTTCTCAATGGCACCTCAACCCTTTCCAGTGCATCTTGCCCCTTTTCGAAGTTGTGTACGAAGTACCAAGTTTTATTGTGTTCTGGAGAATATCCTGTCCACTTGGCTGGGTATTGGAGGTGACTGTGAAAGAAGCGGGAATCGACCATTTTGTCGAGCTCATATTGTAGTTCTCTGTCGAGTTCGATCACAGAGGGAGGAATAAGTGTTGGTGAATGAAACTTATTGTCGTTATGTAATTTGAGGAGTGAGATGTGGAATTTGTTGTGTATTCGCATTGAGTGGGGGAGGTCGAGTTTATAAGCTCGACTGCCCACTTTTTCCAGTATCCCCAATGGTCCTATTTTCTTGTAGTCTAATTTCTTTGATGGTCGCGTTGTATGGATATTGTGTGGTATTAGCCATACCATATCTCCTGGTTGTATGTTCAAATCTGGTCTTCGGTACTTATCGTATTGTTTCTTCTGTGGTTGTTGTGCTTGACTCATTTCGTATTGTAATGTTGTGTGTAGTTTCCCCTTATCGGTTGTGTCTGGTATCACATCATTAATCGTATGATATG